AAAATATAGAATGTATTTATTTGTTCTTATAGATAATCCTATCCTTAATTTCTTTGAAGAACACATGACTATAGTTGGAAAGCTATTCCAGGTATCTAACAGACTTTTTCCTTCAGGGAATAGAACTTTCACATACAGTTCCTCTTCCATTCTGCATGTAAATTTACAAAATATCTTAATATATTTTTTTAAATTTATATATACTGTATATATAATTTCTTTTATATCCATGATCAGCTCAAAAACTCCATCTAAAATCACATGCTTGTTAATGATACGATTTTAACTCAAATTCTATGTAACAAAGCTCCATTCGATAGACCAAGCACAATCATAACAAATAAACTATCCTTACATAACGTTTTAGATAGCAGTTGGCCTATTTAATTTTCTGGAAGTCACAGCTGCTTTTCAATGTTCTTTTTGGCTTGTTCTTTAAATGTGCACATTATTTGTATTATATACATTACCTTGTACAATACATTCTTAGCATTACGGTTTTGAGATCTAGCGGTGGTGCCAGGTTGATTGGGAGTTCGGTTACCAATTGGCATGGCTGCTTGGCAATCTCACTACTGGCCAGGTTCAGCTGAGGTGAATTTCTAAAACAACTCAGTTTTCAGATGAAATGAGCAGCTTAAAAATATCTTTTGACCTATACCCTTGACAAAAGTTTGGCCACCGAAATGTGAAGGTTAATATTTTTGGCATTTAAATTTTATGTATGACATATGCGTTTTGCAATATTTTTCACTTTATGTGTGATCTAAAGCGGCACTATAACTAGCAAAACCACTACACCCAAATACAGCCTCTCTGCTGCTACTCAGATAAAGCAGAAGATTCCCTTTTGCACTATCCGTCTAATTTTATAGCTATGTTGGCCAATGCACTACTAGTGGAACCACAAATGGCAGTGGGAAACATGTAAGAAGCTAGTGTATGGCAAAGCAGATAGTACTGACTAATAGTAAGAACACACACAGGATGGTAGGGTAGCAGACACCCTGTGTTCTGTTTGTGGAATTATTTTGTTAACCCATTCTTCAATATTAAAATTAGCTTTGTGACCTATTCTTCATTAGTGATTGATAGACTCTGGCCAATGTCAACGTGATCTCCACTATAACTGGGAAGACATTGCTGTTACATTAAACTATTTATTGTGTCCAGCAGCCTGAAGCCTAAACACGTCTTCAATTAAATGGAGACCCAAATTTGGATCATGCCCCATGTTTTAAGAACCACTAATATAGATCCATTTAAAATATATGTCTGTACCTTAACACCTTAACATAAACTTATTTTTACGCAGATGTTTGGCACATAAATGGCAGATAATATCCACCAAATGTCCGTTCATCTAATACTCCAAGGGCAGACAAGCACAAGAACAAACGCATCATACCATATAGTATATGTTTTTATAAAAAAACGTGTGTTTATGTATATCGATATATGAATGTAAATATATATAAAATTGTATACATTTCTTTACAACATATTTCCCTATATCATCACAATTTGAATGCCAAAGATGAATTTAAAAAATAATATAATGCAAAGGAAAAAAAAGAAAGAAAAAGAAAGAAAAAATGACTGGGGTTTAAATAAGTCCTGAATGAGCAGTAAACAGTGGGGCACATATAATGTTTTATAACAGGCACAGAGATAGTTATGACAGGGAACGTCTATTCAAATAGAACCTATTAAATGTCAGTGGGCTTCTGGGTATATTACTCCCATTAGCTATCACGGAACAGACTGAAGTCATGGTGAATTAAAATCAGTCTCCTGTATGTTCCTGTTAAATATTCACTTCCTCTCATCTCTATCTTTCTACGTGTTTAAATTGTTGCTCTTTTTTTTCCCAATAGTAAGAAATTATTAGCAACCTGAAGCTAAGAAATTGGTGTTTATTATTATGATGATATTAATCCCAGCTTGATTTTTGCATGTCTGCTTTCTTCTCTGGAAACAATATGTTATCATTACACAGAGCTGAATACATTTGACTCTATTTCCCTCACATATCCCCCGGCCTGTTCATGACTTGTACGATTACAAAAGCACAAAATCTCTTTTTGTTTTTTTGTTTCTTTTTTCTTAAAACTTTGTGACAGATTCCTGCAGTTTACAGAGATGGTTCCCGGAATCACTTTTATATATTTTTTTTCAGATTCAAAGTATTCCTTCAGGGATCTACATCCTCTAAGCCCTTGTTGGTTATTTGAAATGAAAGCCTTTTATGAGTCAGATCAATTCTGGTTTTGTCATTCATCTCTTTTTTTATCTGAAATTTATTTTTTTACAGTACATGTACTTAGCCTAACAATGCTCAGACAGGTACGGCAAATAGTTGTTAATACAGACTAAAACATCTATTTTGCATCTCTTTTACATTTTAATTTACCAGTGTCTTTAAGTTTTTGGTATTAACGGACATGTGCATCATTAAACCTTGTTATCAACATAATGCTTAGCTGATTAACACAATGACTTGACATTGGTTGGATAAAATGTGAATTATGTTTTTTACATTCACTTTTCAAGGAAAATCTATAAACATGACATTGATAAAGAAGTGAGTAACAACACAACTCACAATTATAGCACGAAGGATGAGTGTGACAGAGATGTGAAGTCTGTAAAGATTATCGCAAGAATGAGGTCCCTGATCTTCTATTTTTATTGTTTAAAAATATACCATTAAAGATCACAGTGTACAACATTCCACATTCAAACAGACTATAATAGAGTGCAAATACCACAAATTAATCAAAGGGAGCATGGAACAGAAGAAAGCATGATAATATGAGATTATACGCATGACATTTCGTTTTTTTCCATGTATAAGACAACCCCCTTTTTTTAGCCCAAAATTAATAAATAAATATTTTAAACATCAAATAGAATAACTTTGATATTTTAGAGGTGACTTCTGAGGAGAACAACACACTTCTGATTCTCATACCTCCCTTGTGCTACGGTACTCTGTGAAGTTAATGGCTCTATAGTGCATGCTGGGAGACTACAGATCCCACAATACAGCAGGTGGTGTGAAGGCGTGCTGTGACATCACAGTAGTATTCCCTCTGTTCCCTGATCCCCATTTCCTTCCCCATAAATATAAATCAGAAAGCAAGACCTACCTGAGGTGGAGCATACCTTAATATGGTTACTTCTTTGATGATGTGGCATGTCTTTGGAGCTCCGTTGGTGGCAAGTGCTGATGTCTGCTGCAGCTCCCACACATATAGTGACCTCTTCCTCCTTGCCACAGCATTCAGAAGTAAATCGGCGGGAGGGAAACCAGGTATGTGTGTGAGCCATGGCACACTGAAATGCGGCAGGCGCCATCTCAGTGGCGGATCCGGGGGGGGCAACGGGGCAATTGCCCCCCCGAGAAATCCGCCGGTCTCCCTCTCCCCTGCTAGCAGCACATGCAGGTGCTAGCCCTGCAATGTGCCTGCGGACCGGGGGGGAGATCAGAGCTCTCCCTCCCCGGTCCGCAGGCACTGTGCGGGCGGCCGGCGGCGAAGGGAGGGAGTGAAAGGGAGGACCCGGAGCTCAGCCTGCAGCTCCTCCGGGTCCTCCTCTCGCGAGATTTGGAGCGTTGCCACGGTTACCACAGCAACGCTCCAAATCTCGCGAGAGTGAACTCTAGCCCGGAAGCGCGGGCTAGAGTTCACTCTCCACACTGGACCACCAGGGAATCACCACTGGGACCACCAGGGATCGAAATATGTCCCCCCTCCTCCCAAGTAAAGGTAAGATGGGAGGGGGGACATAGGATATTTATTTTAATTAAATAAAAAAAATATATATTATAAAAATAAAGCCACACACACATACATTGCCCCCAATACTGCCCCCCATTCACACAAAATGCCCCCCATTCACACATACTGCCCCCCACTCACACATACTGCCCCCATTCACACAAACTGCCCCCATTCACACACATACTGCCCCCCCCATTCACACAAACTGCCCCCCATTCACACAAACTGCCCCATTCACACCCCCATTCACAAATCGCCCCCACACACATACTGCCCCACCATTCACACAAACTGCCCCATTCACACAAACTGCCCCATTCACACACACTGCCCCCATTCACACATACTGCCCCTATACACACATACTGCCCCTATACACACACACTGCCCCCCATTCACACATACTGCCCCCCATTTACACAAACTGCCCCTATACACACATACTGCCCCTATACACACACACTGCCCATACACACACACTGCAACTGTTACACACACATACTGTCCCACACATACACTGCATCCCTGACATACACTGCCGCCCTCACTCACACACTACAACCTTCACACACACTGCACCCCTTACACATTGCACCACTCACACACACCACTGCTCCTATGCCCTACTACAGCCCCATTTCCCAGCAGATCTCAGGTAAGTTGTCAAACTGTTCTTAAAACGGTTTGACTACTTACTGTGGGAGGGGGTCCCGGCACTATTGACACCATAACCACTACACTGAGCTGTAGTGGTTATTGTGTCTGGATTATTTCTTTAAATAATCTACAAGTGCCCCTCCCGAGATCAGGCTCTGGATCCGCCACTGCGCCATCTTGGCGTAGGTCCCACTTATAAGTGTTTTTTTTTAACCCCTGCAGTGACATTCCGTGTATAAGTCGACCCCGAATTTTAGACTAAACAAATTTAGAAAAAAACATAATCTTATACAAGGAAAAATACGGTAATTTGAATCAAAGGTACCTGATAGGCAGATCAATATGTGCTTTTTACAGTTTTCCTTTAAAAACCTATCCGTCACAGGCACACTAAGTCAAACAGAAATTTTAAATCAGTACAAAAAAAATAAGGGGTAATTTTTTTGTGTTGATTGCCCATCAAACTTCTTGTGGTTACCGTGCATCAAGACAAAAATAAATACATGGCTTAATCAGTGGCAAGAGCACAAAACGAGATATAATGTTAATGTGTATCTGATTGAAATGATTCTATATTCTAGATTTTAGGCTTGAGAGGCATTCTATGCAGTTGATGCGTAGATACAATCGTTGGATAAAGTTGTAATTGACTGGGGAAAGAAAGCTTGGACTAGCCAGATCGAAGGTTTTATTGTCAGTGAAATAATGCAATGTTAGGGAACTGGTCACCATTATTTTATTGTTGTTGTTAGTAAGATATATACTGTATTATAGCGTATGTGTTTGTTATTTTAAATTCACACCTATTAGTTAATACATCTTTCCTAGGGAACTCTTGGCTTACCCGTCCTCTAGCAAAGCTACCATCTTGGTCCTGTTTGGTTGGACGTTCCTCTAATCTGACTGACCATGCAGGTAACCTTGAGCTCGTACACGTACATTAATCCTAATTTCTTGCACAAGTGACTGATTTGCAATTTGAACTGCTGAAACATTTCTTGTCTCTTGGATAAGCATGGTTGGTCAGATAAGCGGTGCCTCTCATGGGCTGAGGATAAGCTAACCGCTGCTCTGGAAAGGTGTATTCACTTATAAGCTAGCATTACAAAAAAAATAAACAAACATAGTCTATAATATATTTCATGTTTTATTTACAGTAATTGTATAAAATAGTGGTGGTTTTCCTCTAAATTGATCCCCTGTTTAGGATTCAAATCAAGATAGGAGGAAGAGAAAAACGATGAAAAAGAAATACAACGTATGTTTAATGCACAAGTCAAATAAAAAAACAACAACATGCAATTAACAAGAAGAAGAGAGTAAAAATAAATTTGTTTCCCCAATCCTTTAAAGAGAACCTGTCATGACAAATATAGGTAGCAGTTTTCTAGCCATCTGGTTGGACACATGTGAGACAGTTAAGTGTTTGGGTAGAAGTAATGAAATACATAAATTGTTATTTTTTTTATAGTCATTAAAGTAATATGTATTACCTTTGTCCTCTGTGTCTCATGTTCAGGTGGAATCCACAATCCCTACCTTATGCTGAGATATTTTTTTTGGACTCTGCAGTCATTGGTTCAACCTAGCTGCAAGTCTCCCCCTCCACTCCTCCCCTTGTGCAGGGGCAAGCAGAACTAAGAGTCAGGATGGATTTCGAGATACTTCATCACACACAAAAGAAGCTGTGTGCTCCGAATAACTAGGATGAATCGGGTTATATTGGGATATGTAGTGCATCACTATGCCTAAGCAGAATAAATTAAGACAGAATACAATCTTAATTAGGCATGAAATAAAAAAAAAAAGATATTTGGAACACTGCAATATGGTGAGAAAACGTGAAAAGTGCAAACCATTTGATATGGTGTGTATTCCAATAAGCAAACATAAACACCATTCTCCAAATATTGGTCAGAGGGTAAACAGCCCTGTTTATATGTAATGACAGTGATGATTTAAGAAGGAAGGAGAAAAATAAAATATATATATATATATATATTTACATATATATATATATATATATATATATATGTGTGTAGAATGTAGATTGAATTAGCAGTAGACAAGATGCCAAAATACCAGACCTGAGGAAGGAACCCTCGAAAGCTTGTCTTGTAAGTATTATGTTAGTACAATAAAAAGGCCTCATTACATACTGCTTTAGTATTTTCTCTCTCTCTCTCTCTCTCTCTCTCTCTCTCTCTCTCTCTATATATATATATATACAGTGAGGGAAAAAAGTATTTGATCCCCTGCTGATTTTGAACATTTGCTAACTAACAAAGAAATGATCAGTCTAAAATTTTAATGATAGGTATATTTTAACAGTGAGAAACAGAATAACAAAAAAAAATCCAGAAAAACGCATGTCAAAAAAGTTATAAATTGATTTGCATGTCAATGAGTGAAATAAGAACTTGATCTATTATGAACTATTGAGCCATGTACATTAATCATGTAGTTTTCCTAGAACCAATCCCCCTCTCTTCACCTTCCTCAGCTCCAAAAATTCAGCCGATGCATTTTGAGCCATGTATGTTCTTGTGCAGTAAAAAAGGAAGGAGAGGTTTTATAATTATCAATCCCACTGCATCAAACAGAGAGACTAACTGGAACAAAAAACAGGAAATGTGAACATTTGCCGGTTGAAGTCTGCCACTGAAGCAGACATGAATATTACTAGAGTTTAACAGACTAAAAGTTTAATTTTGTTTTGCTTTTTCATCCAAAGTAAAATTAAGCCTATATATGGCTTGGGAGGCAGTGGGTGAAGAGAACATTACCTAGCACTTAATTAGTGTCAGCAATGTATGAACTATATTGACTAAATGCAAATTGGAATAAAATATTAAAGTGCCGACCAGGCACAGTGTCAGTGGTCAAACCATCATTATACCCCACCAGCCTAATTACTAATAAATTCTTCCTCAGCAGCTGACACAAGGTCACAGCGCTCAATGTGTGGGTTGCATATCCAGCACTGAAGTTTTTGAAGTGAAACTATCAGCAAGCTGTCAAATTTAATAGGAATCTTTAGCTATTTGGATATCACTAGCGTAAAAGTTATTGAAATAGTTGAATTATGCCGCTTAAGTTTCGGAAAGTTAAGTTTTACATTATACGTAAAAAAAAAAAAAAAAAATCACAGTTTCGCTGTAATCGTAATAGGAAATATTGTTTGCTTTTTTTTTTGTATTTTTACAATTAAAATCCACACAAATAACAAGATTGCAATGCCAGGAGACTGTCTAGTCTCTTTGGAAAAAACTGTGTCCCATCTTCTCTTGAACCAGACCTGTCACTCGTAGATCTCTTTTCCCCCCTTTTCACATAGAGTCATGGATAATATATTACAAAGTAAAACTGAGACTACCAGAGCTCTTTCTGGTTGCTGAGCTGAGGGGGAGAAAGCTATGCACATTAGAATAAAACTGCCAGTTAATTGAAGTACGCCACAGTCCAACAGAACCCAGAACATTCATAACTTTATTAACATTCACAAGGGCGGCACATTTAACCACATCAGAGGGGGAGCCAAAATGCATTTTGGACTCAGCAGTCTCTACTCATAGGAAGCTAAAAGCATTTTGGCTCCCCCGTGATGCAATCCGATGTGCCGCCCTTGTGAATGTTAATAAAGTTGTAACTGTTTTGGATTCTGCTTGACAGTGGTATTTTTCAGTTAACCACCGTTTTTTTCTAGGGTGCAGAGCTAGCTCCAACTGAGGTACCACCATTTTTATTGGACTAACATAAAAGACAAGCTATTGCTTCAGACCTTAGGTAGAGCGGAAAACTCTTGAACGTTAATACTTAATATACACTTTTTTATTGGACTAACATAAAAGTGAATGAACATTATTCGAGGGATCTTTAGAAAACAAACAAATAAAAAGTGAGATTTCTTCAAGGCGATACCAAATACCCTGACAGTGAACTGGGTGTACTCTACCTTGGTACAGAGTCTTCACGTCCCCTTCAGGCACTAAATGTGCCTTAAATAAGACGATTGTTGGCCACAAATACAGTACAGCTCCAAGAACAGTTTGAGATGTGGCTGAACATCTCTGTAGATTTCTTTTTTGGAATCCAAGTGGTAAATAATGATTTTCAAGCTCTGTCTTTGGCATCAGCACAGTTACGCACTTAAGATTTTTCTTTACTTATTCTTGTTTCCAGGAACATGATGCCACCATAGTTTAATGCTTTTCAAGATTATATTAGCATTACGAATGTTAACAGGATAAAATTCTTGGAAACCAACATACGCTGAATTATTTTTGATTAAGTAGTCCTTCCATTGAGTAAAGCATTTGTTAAAGCTTCATGTGTCCGAGGCACGTTCATTGCATTGCCTCGCAAAGTGCTCTGCTCTGGCACTCAGAGGATTGAAGGAAGAAAAAACGTAATTAAGAACTAAAAATAAATGTATAATAATAATAAAAAAATCATTATTTTTGAATATTCTGTGACTGTATCTTCAATGACTCTTTTGCAAACATGCTAGATGCTGTCTGAGATATGTTATATGGCAAAACTATATAAATATCAATGAAAGAATTAGTAAAAGAATAAAATATTGGTGCTACAATAACCTATGTGGGTCACTCCAACACACATATGCAGTGCAAAATAAATCAATATAAACAACAGTGAGAGCATACAAATGTTACCACAATCTGTACATACAATACGAACCTGTAGGTTAAACAAAGAAAATACACCGTAGAGTAATAAAGTATGTATATCAATATTAATGAATACACTAATTGGTCCCACTCACATGGATCAGAGCCACTCAAATAGCTGCCTCAGACTTTAGAGATTGGTTGGAAAAGTATGATGGATAATTCTTGAGATTTGTTAATTATGTTCCCCAACTCTGCGCTGCAGGTAGTTCACCAAACAGATTCTAGGATGCAGGATATAGGTGACAATGACATTTATTGGAACAAAAATAATAAATACAATCAGACCTCTCAGTCACTTGAACCACTTTTGATAAAGGCAGATAGCCAAAACACGTCAAGTGGAGGTGGAGAATATATTCCTGCTGAGAGGTCTGATTGTCTGTAAATTAAATATAACTTAGATTTATGGTGAATGTTCTAATCCATCTGGGATATTGCACTTGATATAAAGGCTAAATAAACAGGAAACAAAAATCTACGTACAGATAAACTGGGGTCAAACAATTTATTACGCACTTCTTTCTGATTTCCTGTAGGGTGTTTTAGAGGAGAATGAAGCTTTAAAGAGACACTTGACATTTGGTTTTGATGGAATTAATGCATGAAATAAATACTCAAAAGGTTTAAAACCAAGATTTTATAGAGAACCTGCTCATTTCCATTAGCTGGAAAATTCTTTCGGATATAAGATTAGACTTATCTGCAGAAAAGGCAACTAATGGCAGTTACGGCTTTTAATCACCATTCTTAAGGCATATTTCTATACCTATATATAGTATCTATCTGTCTAGTGGGCAGTGATAATTTCTTGCTAAATATATATGCATACAACATGCAAGATCCAGCACACTCGCTCATTTACTAAACAGCAATTTCAAGTCTCACAGAATATAATTGTTTTATTTAAAAACACCTCACCCAGGCAAACAATAATGGGGGTTTAGTTACAGTATAGGATCATACATTGCATAAGCCTGCCACAACATCAATGTATCCCATTCTTTTTTTCATAGGCTCTTACCTTTTCTTACCTTTTTTTACCTTTATTATGAGTCTATTAAACGTCACTGTAACGGCACCACCAGGCATAAAATGGTTAAACCGCCATTTAGAAGATCTTCCCCTTCCAGAGACACAGGCAGCTACTGTAGACACCAATCCACCGAACCGGAGAAGCATATGAATGCTCTCAAACATACGAATGCTGTAAACAGCCGAATAGGAAAAACCATACCAATATGTTTACACTCCTAGCAGTCGAACTGGAACAGCATACAATAAATCCCCCCAAGAACGAGACAAGGCTCCGTTTTGAGGGTCAAGCAGGAACAGACAGAGCTGTGGGTTTATTGTTCTTATATACACATTAGTACCACCCACAGGGTTTTGGAAAACAACCAATAAACACGTACAATACATTCAGACACTCCCACACAAAATCCTCCCCTCTGCCTGTGATACAACTACCTTACACAATGGGTAATGTAATCATCACAGCCAGAGAAATACAGTTTTTCCACAGTATTAATAACTTGAAAAGTATGCATCACATTTACATAAAACTTACATCAGCATACTCCAAATACAAACATATGTCAAAATCATCCAACTTGGTCCATTGGTTCAAAAGATAGATCGAAGTCCTTTGTGACCAAATGAAGCATGGCTTTTCTGCCCAAAACCAGTTCCACAGAGTCTTCTATCCTGGAGATAATTGGTAATCCAATTATTTCAAAGGACAGAGGCAAAACTCCATTAAGCACATGGAAGTAAAAAGACAGTAAAATACAATAAAATACACAAGGTTACATTTATTACATAAAATACAGACATGCAACATATCCCCAGATAGCTTATTTCTGAGCGCACATTATTACTGAATGGCGCTCAGACCACACACATACAGTTCAATCGCCATGGAGCCAAAGGGCAGGGCAGAAATACAGGAATAGACCTTTCTGCATAGGAAAATAAAGTATTTAAATGCCGGTCCATAGTCAAAAGGCAGCAGGCAGGCAACCAGGCTCCTCCAATGCAATGTGGCGAGATTGGTCTCGTCACAGTCACAGAGATGAGAAGTAGAAACCAACAGTGGAGAATAGCAATTTGTGCTTCTTTCCCTGATAATTACATATTGCAGACTTTCTGCTACATTGCTTTGTATGAAAACCCCCAAGAAACATGTGATGACAACTCTTACATTATGAAATTCAGCTTTCCTAATTCCTGCACTCTTCTGGAAATGTTAGTAATCTCAAGTTCTTTTCCCATATTTTAAATTTACAGCAGTAATTCTGTCAGGGCCATCTATAAGATTTCTGCACATTCCCTGTAGTGATAAGAAAATATTAGTCCTAAAATATAGTGCCAAACGATATAAAGCAAAACTAACAGCTTGTGGAAAGGATTTAGCTTTGTTTATGGGTCTAAAAATCTACTTTTATGGTCAACAGGTAGCAAGACTAAAAGTGCAATGGTGATGCTTCAGGCCTGTGGTGAAATGTATTCATCATTTTATAAATTTAGGTTACAGGATAGTCGTTTTGAGGTACAGTAGGTGCCGCAGTAACTTAGTGTATATATATTGTATTATGTTACAGAAGCTGTACTTATCTCACTATAGAGTAGAGTAGGTACATTAAGTGCAGTAGTTGTGCTGTGAGATATCAGTTTCTTTTAATAACACTAATACATTCAGTATTAAACGATTTGCCATATGTCCATATTTTGGGCAATCAGGGGTTCATCAGAATTCTGTAATTCCGAATTGCTATATGGATGAATCACGAAACAGACAAAATGGGGACTGAACAAGCCCTTTTATTTGTTTCATGATTTGGACTTCCTTTCATGTTGTCAAATAAAAAATATGATTGATGGTATAAAAATATAATTGATGGATAGAGGACAGCCACTAAATGTTGATTTTATTTTTTACACAGATTAAGTGACCAATAGTGGCAAGATAAGGAGTAAATAAAAATCTATATGTATATATTACATATTTAATAAATATGTAATGTACAAATATAGATTATTTTTATTACTGCCTTTTTTTCTTTTGTTGGTGACTTCTTCTCACTTGATCTGTGAACCAAACGGTGGAAAATGTGCCTATCAGTGTACTTGTCAGGAATATAAATACCCTAACACACACACCTGCAGTAAAGGGACAAGTACCGGTCCTTAGAGTGGCCATGCTAGTGCCTGAGATAGATAAATGAAATGTCTGCAAGCAGATAGAGAATAAACGAGAGACAGGCCGAGGTCTAGGATAACAGAGATACACAGAATCAATAGTAAGGCCAATCAAGATAACAGAGAGCAAGAATAGTCAAACAAGAACCATGATAGGGCAAGGACACAAGGACAACCAGGAAGTATATATTCCCTATCAGGGTTGTGATTGGTTACAGGGGGCCATGATATCACAAGTGTGTATACATCATCAAAAAGCAATACATAGACTGACATTATAAAAGGAGACCAATAGAAGTGTTCCATGTCATATATGATGTCATAATTAGGCACCAGGAAGATAGGGATCAATGGGTGTGCATCAGAACACAGAAGAGACATTATTTGTGTGATTGCCGGGAGGACACGTTTCGTGACAGTACAGCAAAATGTATGCATAATATTTATATTACGTGTATATATTTTGCAGTACACCAGTTTGGTTCTCCTGAATTGTTTGTCCCGAAATTATCGCATGGATGAAAGTTGTTCAACTGCAACACCGCATAAATTGTTTTGTATTTACATAGTATTAGCATGTATACTTAACTTACAAAACAAGGAGAGGTCAGTAAGTCCAGCATATAATATATATATATATATATATATTGTGATAAAGTGAAGGCAGATAGGCCTATAACATTTAATCCCAGAGGGAGTATGTGTAGTATGTGTTGTAGGCAACACAAACCAAAGTTTAGTTATGGGCCCATGGGGTGGAGCATTTGGAGAGCAGGGTGGGCCAATGCTCCACTCTACAGTTTGCATACAACTGGGAGAAAAAAGTTCCAGGCCACAGAGTTGATCTGTCTCCAACCCACTGCTTAGCTGCAGATAATCAGCTGCAGCAGTGGGAATAAACCCCTCCCTGCTAGGGAATAAACCCCTCCCTGGAAGCAGATAGGAGAGAGGCTGTTCTCCCCTGTGAGAGAGTCAAGGAGACTGAGCACTGGGTGTGCAGAAGGAAAGCAGTTAAGGCTGGCTTGGAGCACTGGGAGTGCAGAAAGGAAAGCAGTCAAGTCTGGCTTGGAGCACTGGGAGTGCAGAAATGAAAGCAGTCAAGGCTAGCTGAGAGCACTGGGAGTGCAGAAAGGAGAGAGATTTTTGTTTCTTTCTAGAAGGAATGGAAGCCACATGCTAACTGAGTGTGGAGTGCAGAGATCTGACAAAGGCACTAGGTTGGTGAAACCAATTCTTGCTCTGTTACAGTTTAAACCCTTGAGAGATAGGGAACTTGATGTTAGTAAGTGCTCAGACCGAGCTAGGTTTTTGTTTATAGGGATTTGTGTTACTGTTTTTATTTTATTTTTTCATTTTCTGCTGTATCTGTGGTGGAGTTTAAAGGACCACTCTAGGCACCCAGACCACTTCAGCTTAATGAAGTGGTCTGGGTGCCAGGTCCTTCTAGGGTTAACCCATTTTTTTATAAACATAGCAGTTTCAGAGAAACTGCTATGTTTATGAATGGGTTAAGCCTTCCCCCTAATCCTCTAGTGGCTGTCTCATTGACAGCCACTAGAGGCGCTTGCGTGCTTCTCACTGTGATTTTCACGGTGAGAGCACGCAAGCGTCCATAGGAAAGCATTGTAAATGCTTTCCTATGCGACGGGCTGAATGCGCGCGCAGCTCTTGCCGCGCGTGCGCATTCAGCCCAGGAGGAGGATCGGAGGAGGAGAGGAGGCAGAGAGCTCCCCGCCCAGCGCTGGAAAAAGGTAGGTTTTTAACCCTTTCCCCCTTCCAGAGCCGGGCGGGAGGGGGTCCCTGAGGGTGGGGGCACCCTCAGGGCACTATAGTGCCAGGAAAACGAGTATGTTTTCCTGGCACTATAGTGGTCCTTTAACAATAAAGTGCCTGGAATTAAGTTGCATTAAAAGACTGTGCATGTTTGTGCCCAAGAGGACTGTGCTACCTGCAGACAAGGATCACAATATATATATATATATATATCTTTATATCTCTTAATTAACTAGTACTAACAGGTGCACTTAGCACTTCACAGATTACATTAGAGAGGAAGTATAATACACAACATAGATATATAGAGTGTATAAAATGTTTAATAGTTTACTTAGCTCTTTACAGGTTACGTTACAGTAGTGGGGGGTTATAGTTATACAGGGTATTTTATTTATGTGGCACTAACAGGTTTCTTAGCATTTTACACGTTATATTATATTAGAGAAAGAGACATACAGAAAGTGCAGTAGGTATACAATATCTGCATATTTTATTTATATAGCACATACAGGTGCACTTGGCATTTTAATGTTACATTACAGAAGAGATAGATACAGTAAGTGCAGTAGTTACATGATAGGGATAGGATGGCAGGTATAGGCATGGGATTGCTAATAACTACATAGGAATGATGGGTAATGGCATAGACAATAGCTAAGGATACATAGGATAAGGTAGCTAAGCATTGAGTTATGGTAGTAGGAGGTACAGGCAAAAGTTTCTAAGGATACAGTGAACTTAGCTAAGGATAGAAGAATGGTCGGAGAGCATAAAGAGAAACACATCACTGTTGATGATCTTTCTTTAAATGCAAATCTTTAGACTGAAAAGAAAAGAATCCGCAGATTATATATATTTTTTTCCATTTCATTGATTTGGAGATTACTTGATAATCAGGACTTCAGAAAAGCATTTCACATGCTTGTAACTGATCCCCTATACTCCGGCTGAGCATATCCATTAGTAGTCTCCTCTGTTCTGATATCCATTGGGATTCTTCTAGGTGTCCTTATATCTGGAATTTGCAACCAATATGTGGCTTTAAGCTGTTAAGTCATCCTGCATAATATAATGTAATGTAGCTTGTTGATGACAAACATTTGGCTGATATGTTTTACAGGGTCTCTGTATCTAGACCTGTGTAAGTGATGGTCACTCCTAACATTACATGTTATACTTGTGGATTATATGCTTGGATTGGTGTTGATATCCTTGAATATAAAACAAGCTGCAGAATTAAATTATTATGGCTCTGCCATAAGTACTTCATCACAGTCTGAAGATAAGGTCAGAGTAAGTATGCGGTTGTTTGTTCTCATAAGGATAACTGAATTTCTACTACTAACCTGCTTATTATGTGTCTGTTGCCACAACGGAGCATGTGCCTCTGGTTACCATCTTCTCATCAGTATCCTGCCTATTACATATCCTCTACTTATATTGCACAACAGTCTCTAATCATTTTGATTTGACTGTTTGGCATAATCTGTACTATTTACAATATGTTTATCTTTGAATGTAGGTACTGACGTGGTTTGCCTACATTGCCTACTTATAATTTGGCAGTTGCCACAAATTCATACCAATATATTTTTTTTACTAATCTGTATGACATGATTTTTCTTGCCTTTGCCTAGTAATATCTGTGTTATTGGTTTCTACCTCTCCTGTAACTGATCATTACTGTATCAATTCATTCACAGTGTGAGGTAAGGTTGTGAGTCTGATTTTTGCAATACAGGTGGTCCTCATTTTACGACCTACCTGCTTTACGATGGCTCGCACTTATGACCAGCCCTCCATGGGTGGTCGCCGTTGGAATTAGAGGGATTCCCTGCTCTGCTGTGTTCTTCTATGTTCGGGGATATTTCCCCAAACATAGACGAAAACAACAGAGCAGGGAATCCCTCTAATCTATGTTCGGGGAAATTTCCCCGAGCATAGATTAGAGGGATTCCCTGCTCCTGTGCGTTCGTCTATGTTCGGGGAAATGTCCCTGAACACAGACATGCGCACCAGAGTGGGAAATCCCTTAATCTATATTCAGGGAAATTTCCCCGAAAGTAGATTAGAGGGATTCCCTGCTCTGTTGCGTTTGTCTGTGTTCAGGGACATTTTCCCGAACATAGAAGAATGCAGCAGAGCAGGGAATCCCTTAACCTTACCGACCAATTCGTTCTACGACCGGGTCGTAGGAACGGAACCCGGACGGTAAGTGAGGAGTGTCTGTATATAGTCATTGTTGCAGTGTTTTAATAACAGACTCTCTTATTTCTCTACTAAGCTCTGCCTCTTTCTGATAGGTAGAGATTGATTGCTTCCTGTATCTACAGATAAGTAGTTCACTAGGCAAGATGAAGCAGTATGAATCGTCTTTAATAAATACATCCAGAAAATAGTAGGATTCTCAGTGTAATTCTCCCCCTGTTTAATAGCATAGTGTGACTGTTCCCATCCAAAAGTATCTGCTTGTTCCAGTATAATCTCTGGAAGTTATGCCTTTGTCAAGGTTCTGATTTGATGATGCCATCGATTTGGTTTTTAATTTATATCAAAGAAGGACATTATCTTCTATTGTTGACAGAATAAATCTATAATTTCTAGACCGTGTCTGGGTTTCATGGAGGTTTTCTAAAAAATATTTTTTTATCCATAACAAGATGGGTTCCTTCTTTCTTACGAGAGTTTGACTTGTATTAGTCTAGCCTTGTTCCTTCTCTAGGTTTGGCTATCATGGCCGTAATTCCAATCTGGCCTTTTATTTCTTGCTCAGTAATGTTATTTATAACTATTAGCTGTTTTAGAACTCTGTCCCTCCCTCTATATATACTGCTTGGGTATTCCCCATGAGTAAATGCTGCCATGATTGATAAGGAATAAGGAACATTTTTCATATTCATAATTTTATTTTCCTGATCATTATTCATGGTGGCATTACGTTCCCACCCATATACTCTAAGTTGTGAAGATAGTTACAAAGACTGCCTGATGGGAAGGGGGAGGATCTATTTATACCAGTTTCAAAGTTCTATTTCCTGTCCTTTCTGCTGTGAGGGGAGGAGCTAACCCATGAGTAAATGCTGCCATGTATAATGATCAGGAAAAGAAAATTACGGTAAGTATGAAACAATTTTCCTTAATATTTGTTAGTTATTTTAAGCTTCATCTGCTCTAGCCGATATTTTAGTTACAGCACGGTAATCTAAACAAGTTCTCTTTTATTGCTGTATAAACCAGGATAGAAATGAGGTTTAAGACCCTGAAAAACAAAACAATTTTTTTTGTTTTTATTTTGTCTTTCAATTTTTGCAAAATGTTGCAAAAGACAAATATAAAATCTTTTCACAGATATAGGGCATGTCCTAATAATGTGCAAAAAAGTAGGTGTCAACAAGCAATTAACATTTCCTTGCATTAAGAAATAGTTGAAATGTACTAATACAATTGTGAAGTGTTACTAAATTTAATAGCTGCAGAGAATGTATCACAAAGTACAGACCTTTGAACACATTGGCAAATAGCAGACAAAAAAAATCACTGATATACATCTTAACACAGTTTCTTGGGATTTATAGATTTATATTTTCGACATGCATTTTTATAATATTTGCTATAGTTACTCTTGTTGGTTAAACTGTAAATAAAACAATTTAGACAGTGGAGTCATTTTTTTACACATCAATTCCTTTTTCCAATTATTTTCTAAACATTTTCCTGATGTATGATGATGTATGTATGATGTATGTGCCCTCGTGTGTCTGTGAAGTAGTCATGACTGGCCAGTTAGTTTCCTTCTCTTGCAGGGTTGAAAAATTTGACATGCTATAAACATAGAGAAATTATGATCGGTTCTATTACACAGAAACTACCCCAATGTCCAGAAACTAAGACTGCGTGTACTCTTTATGCCAGGAGGAACACACACTAGGACACACATTGGATAGAGACCCTGGCACAGTAATATGCGGTGCCGACTGGCCAAGTTTAAAAATGGCTAGATTTTGTAGTAGAAACTCATTCTACCCCCTACATTGTTCGGGCTCTGTTCATTTAATACCCTGCTCTCAATCCTGTTCAACCCAATAAACATATAGATATACACCTTTTGGAAATAATATCTACTTTAAAAATGTAACATCACCCTCTGGTGTTGTTGCCCAATGACAGGGCAATATGCAGCTAAGTCTATTAGGATCTGATGGCCCAATAGATGGTCCACTCTCCAATGGAGAGTGTCACAAATATGGTTAGAGCAGGCTAAGCATGTCTAAGGGCCCTATAACCCGATCATGGGCATTTAAAAAAAAATATCCCAAAAGTTTGGGACACGGTTAGTTGCTGTTTCACACAGTACCATTGGTGGTACAGCTTCATGACAGGCAAAAAACAAGACTGCTGCAGAACATGAGGAATTAAGGATGTCTGTCAAATTGGTACCCTACTCCACAAACCAACTATACAGGTAGGCTTGCCTGGTTAACTGCAATAAATAAAGGCAACACGACAATAGCTCTCGTCTGTCCTCAGTCTATACTGGCTAAATTCATGCTTGCATTCAACAATGAATAAATGGAATGATTATGGGGATTCACTTACATAATTTTGAGCTGGCCAAACTGTACTCAGAATCATTAATAATTACACTGGCTTTTCACAAACATTCAATGTAAAAAAAAATCTTCTCTCCTTCAATTCCTCAAAAACATGTTTTAATGCTGATTTTTAGTTTAGATAAATGATAAATACATTTCTATTGAAAGGTCAGTTATATCAGAGGGGACACTACAGCGAAAAATAGACAAGGCACATTCCATTAGACAATCCAAGAGATGTACGGACGGCAAAGAATGCTTTTGCAAACAAGTTTGCTCGTTGCAAGAACTGCCATTAGCTGCAGGAGCGATCAGTGGAATCCTGCTGTGTAATTAAATGAAATCTGCTAGATAATTATTTGGTCTTTGCTGATGAGCGTAAACTAGTCTTCGCATCTCTCGTGCTCATCTAAGCCTATTTTGTTTTTATAAACAGGTGTACAAAGTATTATACAAAATACATAACATAGTTACATAGCTGTCTAGGTTAAAAAAAAGACTAAAGTCCACCATGTTCAGCTGTGAAGCCCATTCTTTTATGCTGTTGATCCAACAGAAGAAGGAAAAAAAAATGTAGCCATTTCCAATTTTGTCACAAAAAGGAAAAAAAATCTTTAAATCAACAACCTGTTTACATGCATTTCAATTTTATTTCAAGACACAGAGACTCATATTGCTCCTTTACTGTCCACCAAAAGCAGCAATGAATACAACAAACAGAAAAAATAGAACACACACAGGGACCCCAGTCAATCCCAATCCAAGTCCCACTATAACTACAAACACCTTTCCCAAAATGTCCTCTTTCTTTGCTGCTCCACAGTCAGAGAAGCACCCATTATTTTCTGTCAGTTTTATTGCTAGTTGTGTTTGATTTTGTTATTGATTTCATTTTTTTTTTTACTTTTGTTGTGTGGTCTCTGTGTTGTCTTACCACTAGGGTTCCAGACCACTCTTGGATTTTTTTTCTTTCCCTCCCCTTTTTCTGCAGTGACCACTCTTGGGATTTTATCTGTTCACCTTTTTTCTCTCCTGACTGAGAAGTCGAGTCTAGAGAGGAGGCTGGTACCTAGTTGGAGAGCGACTCTGGCAAACATTTCTATGATATGGTCCGCTGACTTGCTGCCACCAGCTCCTGCGGGGGCTTCTGTGGCATACCGCAGAGCGCTTCCCAGAGATGCAGGAGACACCCTGTTTCATCTGCTGGGAGAACCCCTATTCGACCAGATAACCTCATGTAGTACATTACTTAGAAACATGGATACAACGCCCAGCATGGAACAAATTAAGGCAGAGTGCCCAATGCCTATAGAGCCTAATAAAGTGTGTAACACCCCTGTGGTGGAACCAAAGATGACCCAGTTCTTAATAAACTTGGGATTGAATCCCTGCAAAGGTTTGGATTCGGCACTCAAATCGTACCAAGATAAACATTTGGATATTTTTGGCCCATATGCCAAATTGTTTGATTTGGCAGAAGATGCCAGGGCTGAGTAAAGAATGGTGCACCTGGAAGAACTCTGTGTTTGGGTTCAGGAGGCTATGTGCAATCTGGACAATGTGAATTCCTCCCTTTCCATTTAATATATAAGTGGCTTGAGGGACCCTTATTGTCTTAGAAAACATTTTTTTTTACCAAGATCTGACAGCCACTGGTAAATATACTTAAACAATTAAGATTCTCATTGTTAAGCATCCAATCTCGCGAACGTAACTTTCCACAATGGCTGTCAGATCTTGGTAAAAAAAAATGTTTTCTAAGACAACATTTGGGGATTTCTGGTATTTTAAGCCACTAATAACTGTAGTTATTATATTTACTAATAATAACTAGGGAATAAGTTGTCTTCTCCCTAACAGGTCAAAGAAAGATAATTAACGTCATATTTCCAATTAGCAACTATTCTAAATATATTGGGAGATTTTGAATAAAATAGTATTTTTAACATTTAAAGAGAATGTAATTTTACATATTGTGAACAAAGGCGGTAAATACTTTGCTGCTTCAAATTATCCTTATATATCTAAATCATATACAAGAGTGTTTTTATCTTTAAAACAAAACACTAGAAAGATTAACTATGTTACTATTTCATCTATCATTATTATACAAAGTATAACAAATGTAAAGATTTTTCCACAGATTTTACCTGTTAACATTTTTAGCACAACAGCACCTGATGTCAGTGAGATGTCTATCACTGAGATGTTATAAAGATTCCAATACAGCAAAAAGAGGCGTTCTTGAGAATCCACTTTGATTGCTGTATCAACATAACATTTACTATAATGGGATCCATGTCACTTAAGACAATGTTTTGGAAATGCTGTCAATTAATTTATTCCGTAAAGGAATATCGGAGAGTATCCAATCTATACACATCATAAACGGTGTAAAAATGTTTCATGGAAAAATAAAAATAAAAAAGCAAAGACAAATACCAACACCACGGTGATAACAGATGATGCTAATTCAATATCTGGAACCAATTCTAGCCAAATATTTGGAAAGCTGGACTTTATAACCTACACTCAACAACAAATACCCGAGTATTCTACAAACACAACCTCCAGCAATGTATCTAAGGAATGTAAACTTCTACAGGCCTTTAAAGACTTTGGATTACAAATACAATTACTACTTTTAACTTTGGATTACAATTTGTATCCGGATCTATCAAAGAATATCTTGCTCTGGAACTTGGTGTTCTTTTCAATTCTTTCCCAGACAAAACCTTTGCTCATTTTAATCAACCACCTTTACAGGCAAAGATCACACTACGGATATTTTACTGTTACAACAATGATCAAAGATGCTGGGAGCAAAAAAAAAACAAAAGACTGTTGGAGAACTTTGGTTTACTAATTTAAGGAAGAAATTTGCTACAATGCCCACAGTTTAATGGAGAGGGTGTTATGGGCAAATGTAAATATTACAAGTTTTAGAATGAAATGTTGTATTTCTTAAACTGTGTACTTTGTCTTTAAGAGATATTGCAAACTGACAAGGTGTTAGAAATGGAACATATTGTTTTTCATAGATGTTTCTTTAAGCAATAACCTCAGTGCATAATATGTTTGCGCCATTTTGTCCCAGACGAATTACAATAACAATAATGCATAAACAAGTTTCAAGGCTATACTACGACTCTTTCAGTACACAATATACTGTTGTAACCCCAAGTTAATGGAACTTCCCCAAATCCGGGAATCTCCCACGACTGTGCACGTACGACTTAGTATAAACAACAGATAAGCTATTCAGACTTTGAGATGCCATCTTGAACTAAGTCAGGAAAATTTCCATGACGTATGCACCCTTTAGTTATGGCCTTGTATGTGTGCCAAATTAAGGGAGGTCCTAAAATGAATAAATTAAAAGAAGTGTTACTTTTTCATATTTGAACTACGGTAACCCTAAAATGAAGACACCTAAGGTATAAATAGATGTACTATTAAATGTTAAGACACAGAGGAGAGACTTGGAGACAGACGCTGCTCCATCTTAAAATGACAGAGAGGCTGACATGATGACATGTTCAGAAGGGTATGTTAACCTATTAATGATATTTGCAAGCATGTAATTTAATCTTATAAACTCTGCTATAATGGATTTTATATTTATATTTTTATATAATAAATATCCAAGAAGACAAAACTTTATTGCTTCCAAGACAATCCTTATTTTATATTGTATTCTCAATTATTTATATATGTTAAATAGAGGATCTCTTACTAACTATATAAAATTATGGCTAAGATATCTGTATGGTTAGCCCTACTAAGTTCTATGCTTTAAGACATTATAGTGGTAAATAAGGGAACCACCCACGGTTACAATCTCATCTGTCACTTGCCTGCCCAGTTCCCACATTTATCCAAATCCCTCTGTAGACAAATTATATCACTTTCTGACTGTATTTTCTTACCTAGTGTTATGTCATCTGCAAACACCGATAAATAACTTTCAATGTCCACTTCAAGATAATTTAAAAATACTTTAAAGAGAAGTGGACCCAGGACAGAACCTTGAGCCACTTACCACTTTTTTCCAATTTGAAAATTTGCCATTTACAACTACTCTCTGTAAGCTAATGTTCTATCAATGAACATATTTTTTTGTCTAAACCAACTGTAACGGCACCCCCAGGCATAAAAGGGGTTAAAAGCCGTTTAGGATATATTCACTTCCAGATATACAGGCAGCTACTGTAGACACCAATCCACCGAACCGGAGAAGCATTTGAATGCTCTCAAACATATGAATGCTGTAAACAGCCGAATAGGAAAAACCATACGAAAGGTTTACACTCCTAGCAGTCGAACTGGAACAGCATTCAATAAATCCCCCCCCCCAAGAACGAGACAACGCTCCGTGTTGAGGGTCAAGCAGGAACAGCCAGAGCTGTGGGTTTATTGTTCTTATATACACATTCTTAAACATTAGTACCACCCACAGGGTTTTGTAAAACAACCAATAAACACGTAATACACAGTAAAACACTCCCACAATGACATCACAATCCATCTTCTCTATCCTGGAGATAATTGGGAAGTAATCCAATTATCTCCAAGGACAGAGGCAAAACTCCATTAAGCACATGGCAGTAAAAAGACAGTAAAATACAATAAAATACACATACAACATATCCCCAGATAGCTTAGGTCTGAGCGCACATTATTACTGAATGGCGCTCAGACCACACACATACAGTTCAATTGCCATGGAGCCAAAGTCTTTTATTACATGAATAGGCTCCATGGCATAGCTATCTGGGTTAAATGAGTTCATTCAGTAAATCTGTGAATGAACCGGCCGCATGTGAACTGCAGACTGCTGCCATTCAGTGTTCAGTATGTGTAGCCGCGGCCACCTGGGATAGGCAATTAAGCTGCTGTTAACCGAAGCTTCTGGGCAGTCAATTGGCCGCACTCGCCGGCTTCTGGGCGGCCAATTAACGGCGCCTGCCAGCTAACCACGGCTCCTGGGAGGCCAATAGACGGCTGTTTGTTCGGTAGATAGAATCTACTGAACGCCCAGGCAGAAATACATAAACAGACCTTTCTGCATATGAAAGTAAAGTATTTAAATGCCGGTCCATAGTCAAAAGGCAGCAGGCAGGCAACCAGTCTTCTCCAATGCTCAGTGGCGAAGTCGGTTTCGCCACACCAACTGATTTAAGTTTTACGTGTAATTTATTGTGTGAAACTACAGTATATCAAATGCTGTAGCAAACCCAAGTAGATCACTCTACTGGATTACCCTGATCTATATTTCTACTAACTTCTTCATAGAATGCAATTAGGTTAGTATGGCATGACCTGTCTTTCATAAAACCATGTTGATTCCTGATAATTATATATTTTCTGCAAAATAAATGATTGAATATTATTCCTTAACAGCCCTTCAAATAATTTCCCAACCACAGATGCTAAGCTTGCAGGCCTGTAGTTTCCGAGTTGACCTTTTGAACCTTTTTTAAATGTAGGCACCACATCTGCTTTTCTCCAATCCTCTGCTACAATGCCTGAAAGAAAAAATCCTAAAAAATTAAAAACAGTGGTATGGATATTTCTACATTAAGCAAATGTGGGTGAATACCATCTGGCCCTGGGATTTATTTACACTACCTTTATTTAATTTCTGAAACACGTTATTCTGTGTTAACCAATCACTGTCAGGCTTTTGTAACAGGGAATTGCAAATCTACAGCCACTGATCCTTCTTGTCAGGTTTCAAAACTGGCATGTAAGACTTTTTCATTTATTACTGGCCCTTTAAGTGAACTTCATGATTTTCTACTCTAGTGGCCTCCCTAGCCACTAATCTATTCACTCACCTTAATAAGCTCACCTTGATTAACTAATTAGGAGGCTTGATAAGTCTACTCCCAGCACACAACAATGCCTTGACATTGAAGTCTATGCTCTGATAAAGAATCTCTGTTCCTGGCAATATCTTGTATTTTATCTACATTATTTAATTCTGTAGAGAACGTAACTGAGGTGCCTCATCCTGTATGCATCTGCATTTCCTCATATTGAAAAGCACTAACCTGCATTACTTCATCCTGAACTTGCCTGAATTACATCTTACCGAAAGACTTTCCTTATCACCTTCCAAGAATCCTGATTTGTGGCGTATTGCCTTCATTGAAGAATCTTAACTGCTTCAATTGCTGCATCACTGCATGATCTCGTAAGCAACCTGCATTATATTATTTTGGAATATACTTACCTGTTTCAACCTCTGCAACTCTGCATGATCCTGTATTGTCTTATCCTAAAAGTAGCTATAACTAGTAGCATTGCAAAGTATCCTGGAAATCCTTACCTACTTGGTATAACTTCAAGCCTGCTTGTATACAAAAGATTTTATACATTTACTTGATCTTACAAGATCTTGTTTGTGGCATATCGCCTAAACCCTGCTTTACTCACAAAGTATCCTGTTTGTGGCAGACTGCCCTTTATTCTTTATTTCAGTAAATTTGTTATGTCTAATACAACAAATAAAGTTTTAACCAATAACCCTTGCAATCGTCTCCTCTATGACATGCTCAGGAGCATGACACTTCTTCCCCATATAAAGAAAATTAATTATTTAGAATTTTTGCCTTGTCCTGATCCTCCTTAATTAACTCATCCATCTGACTGTCCAATGGATCAACACTTTCACTCTTAACCTTTTTGGCTTTAACATACTTAAACGTACTTAGATCTTTTTGTGTTTGGTGCTTTTCATTTTCAAATTTAGCCTCTCTTATCACTCTTTTGCAAGCCCTATTGGCATGCTTATATTTGTTTTTGATTTCCATTTATCATTTGACTGAGCCTTGTACTAAGCCACATTGTTTTTTATTTGCTTTGTTTATATTTGTTTCCTAATGGTATGCATTTATTCTCTTTGCTTTTAGCCAATGAAAATGTCCTGCCACTCAAATCAAAGTTGTAAAGGGTTTTTGTACAGCCCATATGAATTAGTTTTTTGAGTTAACATCAAATTATACCATATGATGGTTACTATTTCCAAAGTGTTAACTTGAATGTTTGAATATAAGTCAACATTATTAGTTTTGACAAGATCCAGACAAACATCTCTTCTGGTTGGCGCTTCGACTAAATGATACATTAAATTATTGTTTATCGGGTTCGAAAACCCGTTTCCCTTAACTGCACTACTAGTCCCTTTTTCCCAATCAATGTCTAGATAATTAAAATCTCCCATGATTAACAACCCAGCCTTATTAATTTGAGATAGCAGTTGCTCTTCCCCATCTGTATTTATGTTTTAGGGCTGGTAATATATTCCTACTATTAATGGATATCCTTTGTTTCTTCCTCTGCACATTTCTACCCATAATACTTCCACTTCATCATCACCTGTATCATCACATACAATTTCTTTAACACTTGGCTTCAAATCAAGTATAAGACATACCCTGCCCCCTTTTCTATTTTTTCTGTCCTTCCTAAATAATTTATATACATTTAAATTAATAACCCAATCAAGTGTTTCTTCCCACCAAGTCTCAGTTATCCCAATTATGTTATACCTTTCCCTGCTTGCCAATAGCTCAAGCTCCCTCACTTTCCCACACAAGCTTCTTGCACTAGCAAGCATTTAAAGTTAACATTTGTTTCTTCATTAGAACAATATGTAATTGATACCTTCTTGCTCTGTCTGCTAATCTTACCTCTCACCCCATCTCCACACTCCTTGACTACAGCTGAATTCTCTATCTTTTCTATATAACATATACCCTTCTTTAAACCCATTCCTCCTACTTCTAGTTTAAAGCCTCCTCTAACTTTCTAGCCATCCTCTACCTCAGCACAAAAGACCCTCTTCATTTTAGGTGCCACTCATCACATCTATGAAGATTGTAAGCAAACACTAAATCAGCCCAGTGCTCTAAAAACCCCAAACCTTCCTTTCTTCACCAAGACTTAATCCTTGCATTGTGGGGATATTTATGGGATAATAATAGTAAACAGTAAGAATTGCCCACTAATTCAATTCTCAGATCCCAAAGATCGTTATCATAAGTGAAAAGTATTTCATATAAATAAATCACAATGTTATAAAAATAGATTTTATTTTATAATAACAAATTAATTAATAATAATATGTAACATGCGTGACAATAATCAATTAGTATTTAGTACAAATTAGTATACAATGCAATACAATGGGTATACACGTTTCAATGGCTAAACAGCATTTTCTGTCAAGACTTACACGATTTATGAGGTATCCTTACAGACTGAAAGTGAAGCTTTTCACAGCGAAGGGCCATAAAACCCTGGCTAACAGTTAGAATAACCCTTTCAATGCTGGCTAGACCTACTAGGTAATTAAGATCTATTCTTATGTAATTTTAAATAAAATAACATTTAAACCAGTTCATTAGTCATTTCCTGGAACCATCCAATAAGAGAATCTACCATATTATATAAGCAGATTTTAATTTGTCTAAAAGATATCTTATCTTATATTAGAGCAAATCAATACACCTGGATAAAAACAGCGGTATGCTAACACGTGATAATATCACATTAATATATAATTATTCTTAATTCCACCTGCAGAATGGAATGTTTATAACTATATATTCTTTAGTTAACTAAGATTTCTTAATATGGAAATCTGACCGTGATTTATCCAGTCATATATCATGCTATTAGTAAATTTTAATTAATTTAATTAATTAAATGAAACCAGTATAATTACCAGTTGAGTAGATATTTCATCCGATTGGTAGTCTCAGGAACTTGTTTGGATGTCTCTCTGCATGGAGGTGTGTAGGAATTTCTGAGTGTCCTAGAGTGTCATTGCTCCCCACTGCTCACTTCTTTGCTTTCTTTGCATACCCTTGCATTCCTCTTTCCTTTTCTTTCTCCTTTGCATATCCTCTATCTTCCCTTTGTCCTAACTTTTAAAGGGCCAGTCTCTCTGTACGTCATCAGTTGATAACCCAATAGAAGCACTAGAGGTGTGCTTACCTAGGGATCGCAATTTAGGTATTTGGTCTATAGAGGGCAGTCTTGTCCCACTAAACATACCTATCCAGGAAAGAGTTAACTTTTCCTGGTGGCTATTTTGACGTCATTTTGGCGTTATCTATATGGTTGCCATAATTTAAGTTTGCTGTCAGATCAAACAGTTTCTTTAAGTTTTGTCCAGACTATGTGTCTGGCAAATTCTGAGTTTTGACCCGTAACTTACAATGGGACCTTGTACATATAGAAAGTAAAATTTTATTATTTAATCTTCTCTGTCACAAATGTCTGGGTTTAGAATTGAACCATTCCATTAGCATTTTAGACAGTCTGTCCAACCCCCGTTCTCCTTATCACTTGGTTTGTATATACTATGCATTCCTTTAGCTCTGGGAAAGTGGTTAGTTTTACAGATAGTGTCTTTTTGTTAACTTGAAAATAACAAAATGGAGTCTGGTCTGTTCAGAGTGACTCAGAATATACACTTTTAATTTCTATCATAGCACAAGATGTCTGCCGATATAAATACCCTGACAGCATTGACCTCTCTAATCTTCTACTGCCTTTCCACCGTAGTGAGCTGCACTGGTAATATCTACGCAACTACCACCTTCTGAGTCTCCTTCTTAAGTTTGTTACCTAATTCACTGAACTCATTTTTTAAGTTCTGCCATCTTCCTACCTTTGTCATTGGTACCAATATGGACCATGTCAGCAAGGTCATCCCCAGCCCTTTCCAATAATACCTCCACTCTGTCAGCAACATGCTAGATCAGAGAACACAGGAGAAAGCAAACTGTCTGGTTGATTTGATTAGAGCGGAACATTACCCTCTCTAGTCTTTTAATAATAGGGTATTCTGCTACCACAACCTGCATAGCCTTTCCTCCATTCTGGATCCCATCCATACTAGAGGAGCTATTCCTCCAGCTGTTAGAAGGATCAAATACCTCCAGCACAGCCCTTCATGAGCTTTAACTCCCAACATCTTCACTCAGCTGTGAATATCTGCTGGGGTATACAAAATCAGGACTGGCAACACCCTTCCTCTTCCCTCCCCATCTGCTATTTTACCCAACTGTCACCCAGCTACCTACCCATTGCCCAGCTGGCTCATTTCCTCCCACTAAACTCTTTACAGTGAGTAGTAAGCCCCTTTCAAGGTTGTCCATCCACCTCAGTGTTGCAATTTGCTCCTCTAGATCTCCAATCTGAGCTTTCAGAGAGGACACACACTCACATTTGCCACATACTTACAGCAGACTGCAACTTCTAAAATCAGCCAAATGACTTTACAGGTTTACTGACATGGTTATTGAGACGGCAAAATCTGGACATTGTTCATGCAATTTAACAATATCCGGAATTTGTAATTCAGGCCCAGAATAGGTCTGAATTTTTTCTAGATTTTAGTTAGATCAAATGCTGCTAGACAGCTAAAATCAGGAATGAATGGTTCGAATCCAGGCTGGCATTTAAAAAAAAACAAAAGATGGAACTATTTGCCTGCTGTCAGAACTTGCAGCCAGTGGGCAAATACCCGAAAAAAAAAAAAAAATACTGCACAATAAAATGGATCCATCTTCATCTATGGAGGGCTTTGTGCAGACTGAGCTCTCATAGTCTTAGAAAGGCTTTCCCACACTATGAAGTGATTTTTCTCTCGAGCCTTGGTTGTCTGAGCTCTCTGATTGGTTGGTTTACTAGCCAACTAATCAGAGTACTCTTAATGATATAGCAAATCATGATAAATTAGCTGAGTTTGAGGATTTTTCCAATTTGTGTATTTTTCACTGAAATGTGCAATTATCCCCAATGAATATTTTTCCCCTATCCTGTTCCCGTTTAAGAGCACACAATTGTTATTTAAAGACTCCTTTTACTTAATTTTTTTATTTTTAGATAGCTTTTACTTGATAATTAAAGTTTAATTCTGAATAAAAAAATAAATATATTCTTGATGGTTGCATATTGTATCACTACAGACATATTCTGGTAACAGGCCCACAATCTAAAACACCAACCATGTGTGAGAAAATGTGTGCATGGGTCACAAATTAAAATTAATCTGCAAAATATATATGTTTTACCACCCCTGATTCAATATATTTACTGTGTTTTTGTTACCATCTACCATTCTGCATTGTTATATAATGAAACTTAATGAAGTGTGATTTAAGGCAAATGGTAGCGGCAGATGGCAGTGAACCATACGTATGTATTAGTGTACAAGGCGTACTGCCTGACACTGTATATAATGAGATAAGTTATTTACAGGTGACTGTACATTATGCACAGTTCATATGCAATCTCTATCCTGCATTAGATGTTGTGTATTCAACTTTTTCACATTGTAAGGAGCCAAGTCAGATAATAATAAATAATTCAATTTATAAATAGCTTATTGTGTGCACATTTCCTATCTAACTATATATATATTTTTTTCCCCCTTTATTTGCAGCAACTCTAGAGTGACATATTATTAAGAAAGAAAATCATCTTGTTTGAATCATACAGGAATAAACAGTATTAGTTTGCCAGTATTGTTTAAAAATAGAGTTTCTTTGCTCAAAATCATATTACAATTCATTAACTTAAATAATACTATTGATGACACCAAATTAGTTGATTAGGAACCCTGCAACAGGCATGCATAGAAATAAAACAAGCTGTACATGCTTTTCAACTATATAGAGGTGATACTCGAAAAATTAGAATATTGTGCAAAAGTTCAACGTAAAAGGGGAAACTAATATATGAGATAGATGCATTGCATGCAAAGCAAGATAGTTCAAGCCGTGATTTGTCATAAGTGCGATGATTGTGTCTTACAGCTCATGAAAACCCCAAATCCACAATCTCAGTAAATTAGAATATTGTGAAAAGGTGCAATATTCTAGGCTCAGTGTCCCACTCTAATCAGCTAAGTAAGCCATAACACCTGCAAAGGATTTCTGAGCCTTTAAAAGGTCTCTCGGTCTGGTTCAGTAGAAATCACAATCATGGGGAAGACTGCTGACCTGACAGTTGTGCAGAAAACCATCACTGACACCCTCCATAAGGAGGGAAAGCCTCAAAAGGTAATTACGAAGGAAGTTGGATATTCCCAAAGTGCTGTATACATATATACATTAAATATTAAGAAACAATTTCCGTCCATGCACACAAGCTAAAAAAATGTTATAAATTGCCGGGTGCCAGCCAAGTAGCAAAAGTTATTAGCTGCACTCACGGTGTGTAATAAAACTTCAATTCTTTATTGGATTCTTTAAAATTCGATCCAATAAAGAATTAAAGTTTTATTACATACCGCAAGAAGGACTGAAACTAGTTTGATCCTGAGGAAAGTTCTCAAGGAGGACTGAAACTTCGATCTAATTTTAAAGAACCCAATAAAGAATCTAAGTTTTATTACAGACCGTGAGTGCGGCTAATAACTTTTGCTACATTAAATATTAGATATTATTTAAAAAGGCTTGCTTTATTTATGCGCTATATAAATCCAATGCATATACAGTTATTTTCATGACAGTCTAATTAACAGCCATTAGAAGAATAAGAATTATAGTTTAACATTTTTTATATTAATATAAGTTGAAAAAAAGACTTGTTCCCTAAATTGAAACTTTTACAAATCTCTGTTTTTGCTGTTATTCGAAGAGAAGTGATCAACTTGAAGTGATTTCTATGCCTTCTTGACCCTAAGCTAGAAAGCAGAATTCTCCTCGTATCAACTGGGATAATAAACTGAGAATTGAAACCATTGTGCAAGAAAAACTATGTCAAAAAGTGCTGTGCAGAGCTACATTAAACCTGTATAGCTCCTGTGTAAATTATTGCCTTGATTGAATATTTTTGGATAATATTTTCAAAGAAGTAAAACATTTTTGGATAAACTTTTAAAATTATTTAATATTTTGAAAAATTATTTAATATTTTATGTATTTTTTTTAAATATTGATTTTTTTTGCTATATGATATATTTTTAATTTATTAATATTTTGAAAAAAAAGAACATTTAGAAACTTTTTACAAAAATATTAAATTACTTGAATAGCTTATCAAAACATATTAAATAGAGGTTTTAATTGTTTATTTTATAACCAACCCGGTCTTAACAGGTCCGGCGCTTATTTACTTACTCACCTTAGAAGTAACAGGTTTTTTTTTCTTAGTGTAAATGTACCTTTTCCCCAGTGATACTTACTCAACTGGTGGTATGAAATGTATTTGAGAGATGTAATCAAATGCTCACTGTTTTCCATTTTCATTCAGTTACAAAGTGCTGCCTTTACACTCCGTTTTGCAGCCTGTGGAATCTAAAAACGAGATTCCATGATGTGAAAATCCAGAGCAGAGAGAAGGATTAATACATTTTTAACAACTTGCGACTCTGATCAACACCACAGAGAGCAGAAAATCTGCATTCATCTCCCTCCATGGTGCACAAGTGACTCAATCCTCACTGCCGAGAACCATAGGGAGATTCTTCATTATGATCTTTAAAATGATTATCCAAAAATGCTAGTATGTATCCTTAATGGAGTGTCATGAGGCTATTGTAGTGAGAGAGAGCATTGTAACATGTGGAATATTTAGCTTACATAATGTTACTGTCAGCGGCAGTTCTAGGTCTATAAGAAGCCTTAGGCAAAAAGATTAGTGAGATTTGTTTCCAACACAGTTGACATATTTAACCTTTAGGGTGCCAAAGCAGTGCACACATCTTGCAATCATTAGGTTAATTCCTCAATTTACATTTAAGGCAAAAGTCTTGTTTATTTTTAATTTTTTCAGTCGAATGTTGATCACTGATATTTAAAAAAAAAAAGTTGGGCAAATTTAAAGAATTCTAGTTTTTCATTTATTTAAAAAATATCCATTTCGGAATAAAATAATACCATACTTTGTAAGGAATTTGCTGACATTTTTAAGAATGCAGATTAGTAAAATATACAAGTATAAAACATATGAACTGTACGTGGACATAGGTTACATTCTTCCCTCCTCTCTCACATGCTGTTTTTTAACATAACTGGGCATAATGAACAATATAGGTACCTGTGTGGTAAGAAGGAAAGGTGGTCTGTTACACTCCTTAGATTCAATGTTATTTACCATGTGACCATTCTCAAAAGAGCATGGGTCAAATAAATGTTTTTAGATTTCGAAACCAACACTATAGATTTGAGAGTTAAAGGAACACTATAGCTTTAGTTGTATTCATAACGCAGTGTCCCTATGCACTAAAATGATTTTCCCTGGTGATGGAAGGGTTAATCATTTTAATGCGTGTTGACCTTCAGCACTGGCTCTGTCTTTTCTTCCTCCGATATTGGCAATTGGGGGGAACCTAACGTGCATGCACTGCGTATGTGAAGCACATTAAGCCTTCTCCACAGGAAAGCTTTGATTCAGTGCTTTCCTATGGTGGATTTCAACACGCTGGGCATGTATAAACATGAGTCAAACTCCATGAAACTCTAGGAAGTGGCTCTAGTGGCGGAAATCTTTGTCATGTTCCTAAAACCATTCCAAAACAATTTTTTCAGTGTGGCATGGTACATACTTCATGCATCAGAGGTGTTTTCTCAGCATGGAGGGATCTACCTAACAATCTCTAGGTAGGTGGTACATGTCAAAGTAACATTTACATTATTAAGACCCAAGGTTTCCCAGCAGAACATTGCCCAGAGCATAACACCACCTCATCCAGCCTGTCTTCTACCCAAAGTATCTCAGATCTTTTCATTTGCCAATTTTTTCTGCTTCCAATGCATAACATTCAAGAATTGACTGTTCACTTGATGCCTAATATATCCCACCCCGTGACAGGTGCCATTGTAATGATATAATCAATCTTATTCACTTCACCTGTCCGTGGTTTTAATGTTGTGGCTGATCAGTATATATATAATATATAAATAAAGATTTTTTTTTTGCTTCTTTGTCAGTTACTTTTTCTCACTTAATCTGTGAACCATCAGTCTACTGCAGATATATATATACATATTATTTATATTTCTGCACACTTTTTGGTTTGTCTGAATGTTTCCCAGAATATTTTTCCACAGATAGAACCGAAGGGCAACAGTTATTACTCTTTTGATATTTGGCACTTGGCACATTTAAGAACATTGGTTGCACTTTCTAGTATATAGTGCTCCACTGTTTTACATCGAACTGCAACATGAAGGAATTTCGGACATCTCATACAAAATGTGACTTTTGGAAAAATTGTTTGGCTGAACCAAACTTGCCCTTTGTGCAAAAGTCTACTGGCTACATTACTGTCCATTACTTATCTCCATCTTACTGGATTTCCTAGCTGAGAATATTGCAATCTGCTCAGAATGCATGGTTTCCGATTCTATCACTGTCACCCGATGGCTACCCGTCACCCGAGAACCTACATGTATAATGGCAAATAAGCAGGGAGACTATAGAATTCAACTGTATTCAAAACGGGTGAGTGTAAAAGTTTAATTTCGATTGAATTGCATGAAATCTTACTTTTAACACAAAACCTGTGCTATTTCTCTTGCGCACCAGTTAACTTGCAGGCATTTTGTGCTGTCAAGTTCTCTGCATGAAGACATTTCTATCAGCAATCTGAATGTATAAATTAATTTGTTTCTTTCTTGTTACTCCTATACTTTACCCCGCAGATTGATTTTTTTTTCATAGTTGTTTGAAAATGCTAAATAATTGAAGATTTAGAATTATGTGTAATGGAGCAAATCATATGTTTGGAGAAAAAAATATGTTTGCCTCTTGCATATTTTCAAAACAATAATACAAGTAGTTTATATACAGAAGTAATTCCTGTCTTACGATTCTTTGAGTTAGAGCATTTGTAAGGTGGCTTAAGAGCTTGCATGTCAAAGGTTGGCATTATAACTATTTACTGAAATTGTAATTTTCTGGTTAATGTACATTAGATATATAAAATACACATAGAGTAATAAAAGTATTATAGTGTGCACACGCAAGGAAAATGTATTAAACTCACAAAATATGAGTGAATATCAGGCCCATCATCCTCAATCAGAAAATGATCTTCGGAAGGATATGAAGTAGATCTTCTTTAGCACTTGCAAAATGAATAGACAAACCAAAGATAGTGCAGATGGAATAAAATTACAATGATTTATTATAAAAATGCACTTACAAAATCCAAGTAGTAGACAGCATATAATCCACTCTGAGGTGGAGATAGCAACAAAAGAGTCTCCAGTAATCCAACGCATTTCGTCCACTGGACTTCCTCAGGGATTGGGAAAGATTCAATAACACGAGTCAGGTCCAAGAAATTCA